CGCTGATGTAAACAAAATATTGCTTACAGACGTGGAACCTTCATAATGAAATGTGTAATCGCTTCCAAGAGCATCCACTTCAAATATCACTCGCAAGCGCAAGACAAAACAAAAGACTTTAGCCACGAACCTGACACCTAGTTTCCATTAAAACTCATGAAAACGGATCTCATATTTAAGGTTGCATATACGCTTATTAAATTATCAGTCTCTAAGGCATTGAAGAGTGAGCATCATTCTCTTCTATGATATAAAACAACAACAACAGTAAAGTATTTCACAACGTAATTATTATTTGGCATTGTCATACAAGTTTTCAGGCCAATATCATATTGAAAAAAATTAGCAGAAAAAAAGAATAAAACAATTATATGCATATATACATATGTACGCAAGCAGACTTTGAAAGGCAATGAAAATCACATTATCAAACCGAAACAAAAGAACGAGTTTTATATTGCTTTTAAAAAGTGAAATTCAAGGCGGAAAACTGATAATAAAAAAGTAAAGAGAAAAAATCAGAAAAAAAGAAAAAAAGTTTTTTTTTTTTTTTGTAAAAATGCATGTACCGCACATTAAATACATATACCTATTTGAATTCAAACGCAATCTCAACAATAATGTATTTTTTACATATGCACATATATATATATATATATATATTAGCTTGTTTCTTCCTCTTGCATTAACACTTTTTACACAAGCTTAAAACGAAATTTCAAGTACACGCACATACATATTTATATACACACATGCATTTGTATGTAAGTTGGCGTTTTCGCTTTTTGCAGATGCCGATCAGAGCGTCAACAAGGTAACCTACTGATACCGATGGCCGCAATATCAGTTTGCTTTGTTGGCACATAAATAAATTTAACATCGGTTTTTATTGTTTGCAGAAGCCGATAAGTATGTATATTTAATATACATACATATATTTATGTGTAATTTGAGCATACGTGTATGCATACATATCTTTGTGGCTAAGTGTCTCTTTTTGGTTTTTATCTGATTCTCGAAGTGCTCGACAGCTTGGCAGATTATCTATCTATGGCAACTCATTTACTGCATAAAGTATTGTATATATATCTATATATATATATATGTGTGTATAGCAATGTGATACACTCATGCATATATGCATATATGTTTATAAATATTGAAATCCAAGTATTGTAGCTACCAAGGGGTTGCAGGGGTAGAGCAGAGGCAGGCGCGTCTTAAAGTGTTAATCAAAATCGTGCGCACGCGTGATGCCATGTAAACCTCTAAGAACAACCAACAACAAATAATGTGCGAAGAACGAGACGAATAGTAAATGCAATAACAAATTCACTTGCTTAACAAATAAATAATTGGGTATACATACATATATGTATGTGTGTCAGGTGAAAAGTTTTTCGCACTAAAGAAAGTGTGAAAAGATGATATGGAATGTCTGCCTTGCATAGAACATATTCACTTTACTCGACTTTCACTTAATCGATTTGGCAAATTTAGTTGAATATCAGATGAGACTAATGTGATTGAGCTCTTGATGTTCAAAATTCATATTTATTTATGTATGTACTCAGCTGTTTATATAAGAAGTTCGGCTGAGGTGAGAAAAGGGGCTTAGAATACTTTCCAGCTCCCCATAATACACCCTGTGGCAGTTAATTTTTGCACCAGTGCAAATGATCTCTCCTATTCTTCTTCTTCTTCATTGGCGTAGACAGCGCATATACGATAATAACCGATGTAACAATAGTGCGTCATTCGTACCTTCTGTTCGCTGCTTGGTGCTAGTGAAACCAGGTGGCTCTGCACCATATCCATTCAGCAAAATTGAGGGTTTCCTCTTCCCCTGCTCTCATCGGCGGGTACTGCATCAAATACATTCGAAGCTGTAGCAGTACTACCATTCATTCAGACAACATGCCTTAGCCAGCGTAACCGCTGTATCTCTATTCGCTGAAATATGTCGCTGTCACCGTATCACTCATAGAGTTCATTGTTTCATCGATTGCCACAATCACCGTTGCAATGCTCAAAGGCATATAAATAATTCGCAAACCTTTTTCCACGAGACTCTCCAGCGCGACTCCGACTCTGTCTGCCGAAATTTAATACGGGAATCTCAGATATCACCCTTAACCCGAGCTGAAGTTCTGTAGAAAGATCAAGTTAAACCAAAAACACTTTATACATGTTAAAAACGGCTATTCGCAAAAGAAGGGACTTAAAACCATATTTTGTCCTCTACACTTATGCAGCAATTAGCAGTTTCTCATCCGGATTCTTGCCGTAGGGTAGGGGTTCAAGAATTTTCCCGCGGTAAGGCATGTCTGTCGTAAGAGGCGATTAAAATCCAAAAGTTCCCGCAACAGTGAGGACTTTATACCGCAACGGCCCGTGGAATACTATTGCGGGTACAACAACAACAACAACAACGAACTATATAAAGTTAAGAGGGAGCTCTTCCATTGACGTCCAAAAATGCACCAAAAACTCTTCTAACATGTGAGTGAATTCGGATAATCGAAGAACAAAACACGCGCTCGTATAATTTTCCACCGCAAATACAGGAAGAGATGGACTCAACCACCTAAAAACTTTGTTTCGATAATCTCTTCTTGAAAAGTATTCCTCGAAGACAGGAATGGGGACATTTTAAATGCTTCAGAATAAAGTGCAAATACTATCTTTACAGACAGAATGAAAGGGTTGAACTCAAAACGACTTGAATATGAGATTACCGAACTGTGGGATTCCACCGAAACAGAACTTTGGGCAATCACAGAAGCCGTCGAGTGGCTACTTTTTATTTCACCAATCAATCTATTACTATATACACCGACAGCCAATGCAACTCTACTACGTCAAAAGTGGCAGTAAAATATAGAAGCTTTTCCAATAGATTCCCGAGCAACTGCAGTTTGACGTTTAGCTGGTTATTAGGCAAGTGCAAACGAGCTTGCCAGAGAAGGTACCCTCTCAATCAGCACGAGCTCTGCTCTCCGTCTACGGCTTATACTAAGCATGCTAGGCAAAGTCTTTATTAAAACTGACTTCCACTAAAAAGGCCAATAGCTGGAGACTTAGTGAAACGACATGTAAATTGTATATACCGGTCTGGTCTGTCTGTTTTCTACTAGTGACTCGTAATTGATCTTAAAAGTATTTTTCGTATGCCGTGAGAGCCAGGAAGGCAATGAACAGGTTATTTCTTTGAAAAGAGGCGCTCGCTTAGTAAACGCATCAGTATCAGCGATAAAAACCAGCAACTACAAGCTCTTATATTCGTAGAACCATGTCGATTTGGACCATGCCCAGAGCAACGATCTGGACACTCTAGGCGCCTATGCTGGAATTGTATTCCTTAAAATAGTTTGGACGACAATTGTGGTATGTCTTGTAAGTATCTACAGATCACTTAGTCTGGTACTGATCGATAGTGGTAAGCTGCTTGCAACATATACACATGAATCATTTCAGGTTATTTTCATATGATTGAAAGTTAAGAACTTTCCCAACATGCTAGGCAAGCTTTGGCCAATTTGATTCAGCAAACGATCTGCTCGTTAAACGAAGATCAGTATTAGCTCGGAAAGAGTCGGAAAGCTGAAGAGAAAATAGTAACATTTTATCACCTTCTTGTGCTCCAAGCAGCTAGAAATGTGGTTTGGTTTGAATGCACGCATATAATGGGCGATTTTTAAGGGCTGAAGCAATTCCTTCCAACCTTCCAACTTTATCCCCACTTTTTGGTATGCAAGTTGATGGTTTTTCGAAAAAGGGAGCCACCTCTAAAGAGCTGATGGATTTTTGTGAGGTGTATTTCATTTCATGTCGGAAATACACTCTGATGGATTGACATTACGTAGAGAAGGGTCACTGCAATAAAAACTTTTTTCACCAGTTTTGGATTTTTGTCTGGCCATTAATCGAATCTAGGACCCTCTGCATGGTAGCAAACACTCATAACCACTCGATTTGGTGGACGTTCTGCGTTTTTCACAAACTTCCACTATTCATCTATGCTTTTCTTCAACCACACACATAACTTTGATGCCTCCAATGTTGTGGGAATCGCGGTAACATCTGTACAGTGTCAATTTTTCTTTAGGTGTGTATATTGGCTCTTTTGAGAACAGATATTCCCTTAACCTTACCAGCCGAGCTTTGGACACAGATGTGATCTGCCCACTCGTCGATGGCGTGGATATTACAAACACGCATACAGAGCTCAGGTGGCCTCTCATCCCTGTCATCCGACCTATGGACCGCTCATACTGATCCGCCTGCTCTTTCACGGCATGGATGGCTGAAACTTTGATTTAAAGAGAGCTCTTGCTTTACTCTATTTTATTCATAACTGCTATTGTTTCCACTCTAAAATGATTTATTACGAGTTTCCATTTAATTTATTATCGAAACACTTCTCCTCTACACCCCTGCGTATTTTCATTAGTCATGTTAACCAACTCAGACGAAAGCCGCCAATTTCAATTCCTCGTTCTAATTACCAAATCGAACATAACACTATCTTTCTTCACGTTCCGTTGCGTCGCTTGCTAGAGCCAACGACTGCCGAGGTACCGGCTTACATATAATTAAACGGTAATGTTGATTTAACAAGCGCACAATGGCCGTCTAATGGTCACTTGGCTAAGTTTGTATGAAATACTCACGATATTTTATCGCCACCAATGCGCTAGCCGGAGTTCAACTTGAGCTCTTAATGGGCCAAGTTTGTTTTTCAACAATCAACTTTGTATTCCAATTTGCAGTTGCATGAGCTTTTATTAGACGAGATGAGTATTACAAAACGAACAAAACATGAGCTTCATAAGCGAGTACGAGTATGGTTGAGAAATTAGTTTATTACCGTCATTACGTATCTGTTCTTTTGTAATTATGAAGACGTAAGCACACTCAAATTCCATTTTATAAGTGCCTCATTTGTATCTCCGCACAGCACTTACTAAATCCAAACTTTATTTTTGTCTCTCTTCCAGAATGTCGGCAAGACGAGTTCGGCCATCCTTCCATATCGCAAATTTCACCGAAATCCGCAAGTTATTTAATACACGAAGACGCACCTTTCTTACACACCACAGCCAATATGCGGCTCGAGAGCACAATTGCGGACACATCGAACAACAATGTCGACCAGAGCTCGCTAACGACGGGTGACGACACTCTGAGTCGCGATGATAATGAAACACGTCAGCACTTACGTGTGGAACGTTCTGCATTGCCAATATTGACGGACAACTATCCGAAATCCGGTCCTAATGATGTACATTTTCCAAGTGATACAGAGAAGGAAGCTGGCGCCGGTCGTTATTTCCAGTATAATATAAAACCGACTGGCACACTAAACGAGGCGAGCTCTGAAGCGCCGGAGCGCACACAACGCGCACGTGCGGGCAAAACTTTTAAACCCTCTTTCACTGGCATAGCAACTGCGACAATGGCCGCAGATGAGACCTCATCATCGGAGTCTTTTTTAGCGAAAGGGGGCCTGCGACCGCTTACGTCGGGGTCCCCGATCATTCCGACGCGCAGTTTTGCTACCTCGACGGCGGTCAGTGCCACGGTTACGCCGCATAATCCGCGTCAAAACTCCAATCCCGATATACAAGACATAATAACGGGCATTGTTAAGTTGTTGAATGGAAATGTTAATGTGCATGCCAATACGCAGGGTCTACGACGTCCGTCGGCTAGTCGCATCAACAATCGTGGGCCGCCGCGTATCTCGGATGTGCAAAATTTACCGATAGATTATGAAACACAAAAGAAACCGCTGGGCTCATCTATACGTCCACCGCCATATACGGGCCCATTTGATAGGCCAGAACGGCCATTCATTACCGGCGTACCGATACCAGAGCAAATTGTACCCTTGAGACCAGGTTTCATTAGTCAACGTCCGCCATGGCATCGTCAAAAACCGCGACCGCCAATTACTACCGCAATCGGCGGCAGACGTCCGATACCACAATATAAACCCTTACCCAACTCACAATTATCGCCACCGGCCGCAGAGGAGTCTGCGGCGCCGGTTAAAGAGACGCTTGAAGCACCGACGCAGCCACACTCGGGAGAGACAGAAATTTCCTTGCCTCCAGATTACAATGATGCAAATGGCGACATACCAAAACCAACTGATGCCACCTACGATTCGGAATTCTCAAATGAAGATACAAACTCACAATATATTGAAGTATCCGATCAGGACTCCAACGAGACTGCCGACACAGCCCCATTGGTGGGAGAAAATTCGGAAATGGAAGAGGATGAATTAACGTCAATGCAAGTCTCTCCGCCGCCTGTGAAGAAAGATGAGCAGAGCACTAAAAAGAAACCTGTGAAGCATAAGACAACCGACAAAAAGAAGCACACACAAGAAGATTATACAACAATCATCAATACAAGCTCCGTAGTGCACACAGAAATGCAAATGTCGTCTACATATGCGCCAATGCCAATGCCGCATGGTGAGGGTGTCAACCTAGATCCATCTACAGAGGAAGTTATCTTCATGACACCCAGTAAAACACCTTCATTGGAGATAAACTCGAAGAACGCCGAGACAAGTTCGGTTTCGTTGATAGAAACTCAGAGCTCAATTGTTAACACACCCTTAACAACTATAGCCCAGAGTACAGTCGCCACTCCTAGTCCACCAAGTAGGACTGAGTTGCTAGCTACAATTCCACCCGATCCAACTAACATTACACCTAAACCACCTTCTACCACTACTACCACCACCACTAAGCTATTTACTACCACTTCTACCACCACCACTACCGCTCCTATTTCAGTCGCTCCGCCCGCGTCGACCTCTACTAATGACATACCAGCAACAGTATCTCAACCCCCAAATGACTATCAACCTCGTCCAGGTATTGTGCTCGACGATCCCGAATTCAAACCGGGCGGCCGACCCCGACCACCACGTCCACACTCACCCCGCCCTGTTGATGGGCAACAGCAACCGCCTGTGCATATTCAGCCCACGCGACAACACTTACCTCCTGGTTATGGTGAAATATTCGACGTGACACTTTCGGCTATACAAGGTCCCGGTTCGGTGGGTGGTTCCCAGCAGACAATCAATATTAAACCATATGGATCTTATGGCAACAGTGGTGGTCAGCAAGCGGACATAATAGTGTCTGCAGCAGGTGATGATGGTTTTGTTTCAATCGATGGTAAGCGTACTTACATCAATCTCTTTGGTGATCCAACAGATCCGCCCGTTGGTGTGCCCACTACGCCAGCGACAGCCATACCACAACTTCCTGGTAGCGGTGTGACTCTAGGTAGCGGTGCTGGTGGTGGTGGTGGCAGCGGTATTGGTAGCAGTGGAAATGGTGGCACCGGCGGAAGTAATGTAGTCACACAGAACAATCTATCCAGTTTGGGTGCGGGATATGGCGTACCGGAGACAGAGATTGTGGATTTGGAGCCTACAAAATCGCAGAGTGCAAAACCACAATCGCCAACTACCATCGCTGGACCAACAAGACCACACTACCGCTCGAGGCCAACTCAACCACCTGTGCGAATCGACACGTGCATTGTGGGCGACGACTCTACTTGTGATCAAGCTCAACACGAACGTTGCAAGACAGATAATGGCGTTTCCAGCTGTCATTGTCGACCAGGTAAGGTGATGACAAAAAATACCGTAAAAATGTGTTACAAATTGTCTCATATAGGTTATTCCCGACGGAAGCATCGTGAACCCTGTAGGAAGGTCATCTCATTCTATCTGGGCATGCGTGTGGACCGTATTTACGAACATCGTATTGTGTGGGACAATAAATTGTTAGATAAACATAGCGAGCCATACGGACAGTTGAGCTACGAATCGATACGAGCGGTATTACAGCAAACGCAGACGAGATACTTACCCATTGAACGACTTAATATTCTCTAAATTCCTTTCAGATTGACTCTGCCATGTCTATGACCCCCTACTCTGACGAATTTATGGATGCACGAGTCAACAATATTTACCGTGGTGACCCCAATCTCGGTGGTAGTGGCGTCTTTGTGAACATGACGATCAAAGTGAGTCATAACCAGTAACTGTTTTAGGGTTGTTCTCATTATTTTATATAAATTTCCACCAGCTTGACGAAAGCGTTGAAACGTTGCGTCCAAACCTACGCGCCGATGTGCAAAAACATTTGTTGGGCGTACTCCACAGACGCAATAACAACATTGGCAACTCTGTACTCTATGTGACATCACCTGAAGGCTCCATTACCGCGCTACATGATCTGGACGAGTGCCAGTCACGCGAGCTGAACGACTGTCATGCCAGTGCCAGCTGTTCCAATTCTTGGGGCACCTTCCGCTGTACCTGTGAGACTGGTCTCCGCGATCCATGGGCTGATCAACCACAGCGCGCCGGCCGCGACTGTCAATCATGTCCAGACACATATTGCAACAGCCGCGGCACTTGCAGTTACAACGATGAAGGCAATCAAGTTTGCGCTTGTGATTCCAGTCATTATGGCGGTCAATGTGAGATTGACGGCGAGGTTTTGGGTGTGGCTATTGGCGCTTCTTTGGCTGCGGTTATCATCATCGTTTTGACTTTGGTATGTCTAATAATGTGGTCACGTCGTTGGCAACGCGAACAGAAAAATGCTATCGGTTCGCCAGTGTTTGGCTACATGAATACAGCGCCAATGAAGTCGGCGGGTCTGCCTGGCCAAGCGGGCTATCAAGTGACTCTAGAGGATCGCATGCGCTGGGCGCAAATCGCAGATGTAATGGCACAGACAAACCATTACGGGGTAAGTCCGATTGTGAGTATATCGAAGAGAAGTTACTGAGCTGTTAGATTAGCTCTGTAATAGCAATTGCGATATGTGTGGGTGAAATGGATTTCTAATTTACATCATCCTTACAGGCCGAACCAGTTGGGCCGACACGTCCGTCTTCAGCTATGTTCGCCTACCCGAATCTGCAGTCTATGGGTATGGGCACGATGGGCGGTGGTATGTCGATGCAGGGCACCATGCAAATGCACCAGGCTGGCAGTATGGCACCACCAGTACCTCTGCCACGGTATGAGTGCGTATACCCCTCAGACAATTCCTCAAATACGAATAAAAAGTTGTTGTTCTATTATTCCAACTATTTTCCTCTTATAACTTTGGCATTCTTTTTTCAGAAGACTGGGGTTGAGTTCCCGATCGAATGGCATGCGAACGTTGGAGAATTCCAGCTCGAGCGAGGAGGAAGATCGAACGGATCTGCTTGGGCGTAATTTCCAAGTACCACGACCAAAGAGTAGAAGTAATGGAAGCATAGCGGTGAGTCCGGAGAAGGGTTGTCATAGATAACCAGATAACCACTGGTTATGAAAAAGTAAAAAGAAAGTGAAAGTAGTATAAGACTAAATGTGAATAAGATCAGACAGGCAGTAGGCACGACATTTAATTAATAAAAAAAAATTGATCAATATTATGGGTGCATCTAAGGGCTCGCAAGACCACCTGAAGCTTTATTTATTAGGTGTATGCATGCGGTTTTTTTTTCGAAAATTAAGACTTTATTGTGTAAAATTTGTTATACATTAAAAGTTCAAAGCTACAATGTTTGCCCATCTATTTGGTAGTTTGTGGATCCCATCCCAAAAGAACTTCTCCGGCTTGGAGGTCAAGAAAGAATCGAGCAAATTTCTGATACCCTGTTCTGAAGTGAAGCGTACTCCGGTGAAGGCATTCTGCATTGATCTGAGCAAGTGGTAATCGGAAGGTGGTATATCTGCATCGAATCAATTGTTTTCGGTAGAGGTCCCCATTGATCGCCTGACCCGATTTCAATAGCTCATAATAGAGCACACCCGTGCGGTCCCACCAAATACATAGCATAACCTTGGCACTATGGATATTCAGCTTCGCCGTGTATGTCGATGGTTGGCCGGGCTTCATATACGATCTCTTGTGCTTTGGGTTATCATAATGAATCCATTTTTCATCGCCAGTGACAATCCGATGCAAAAATGACTTCTTTTGGTGGCGTTGAAGCAACATTTCCGATATGCAGAATCGACGTTCAACGTCTCTTGGTTTTAGTTCAGCTTTTTCCAAGTTTCTGGATAAATCCTAATGATTTTAATCGTCTGTAAACGGTTGCTTGATCAACTCCCAATACTTTTGCAAGTTCTTCTTGCGTCAGGGATGCATCTGCGTCGAACAATGTCTCCAATTCTTCGTCTTGAATTTTGTTTTGGCTGTCCGGGTCGTTCTCCGTCGTCTAAGTCGAAATTGCCACTTTCAAACCATGCAAACCACTTTTCGTTCAGCTAAAGCATGGTCACCATAAACGTCCAGTAAAGTACGATGGCTTTCGGTGGCACTTTTCTTCATGTTAAAGTAATGAAGAAGAACTCTCCGCAAAGACAGTTTATCTGGTACAAATTTCGACTAAATCAAATGACATCTATTAAAAAAGGCCCGCGAAATAACAGTACCTTTTAAATGAATATAGTCACAGATGAACACGACGCGAAATGATACTAGTAGAGCCCTCTTATAGAAAACCGCACGAATTAATGCATACATGCATAGTTAAATAGCCTTTGAGCCTTTCAGCTCCACTATAATTCAGGTTTCAGGGTGCACGTTTCACTTTGCTATCTACCCATAAGCCACCAATTTTCTTAGTCGACGCACTACATGGAACCGATCTAAGAAAACTACTTAAGTGGAAACTCTATCAACAAATCAATTTATGCCCACTAGAGAAAGGAGAACTTTAGGAAACCGTAAGAACAGAATAAATTTTTAAATTTTACTTAAAAGACTCGCCTAGAACGTAACTTAGCGCTAGAAAGAAATTTTGATGGGCCCGGTGGAATAGTTGGAAATTTCTTCACTCAGCTCTTGGAAAATTATCAATATCTTTTCAGTAATGTCACCATTCAAATGACTTCAGCACACATAAAACTCTTAGTCGAGCTCTCAGTTAACTCCAAACTTTGGGTTAAATTAATATCAACCACTCCCTTATCACAGCAACGACTGGGGAGACCATCACCATCGACCGCATCAGACGACGTCTTAAAATTTTGTTAGGAACAGTGGAACGTAGCGAAACGCCTAAGGTCTTGCAGTAATTTCAACATGAGGCCTACCACTAAATTACTGTGGGGCGGCATGGATCGCAGCCAGATCATATTCTTCCTAGCATTGAGCAAAAAAGAATTTAATATTCTTCTAGGTGAACTGACGGGGTATCTATTCCTGAGATGGCTTCTCCACAAACTATTTAGCAAATGCAGAATCGGTAGAAGATGGATGCTGATAGGGGTTAAGGCGACTCTTATGAAAATAATAAGAGTTGCAGAACTGAATAGGGAAGTTGCAATCTTCTATAACCGTCTAGAACTGCTGGTGCACGTCGATGATATTGATATCACTTACCTCAACAACCGCACCGTGAGTTCACTTATTCCAACTGGATAAGCAAGAGTATGGGTTTGGGTAGTAAGCGAGTCAAAGTCGAAATAAACTCTAAAGTCTTTAATGCCGTGCTTGATGGTGGAGACAGAGGAAGAAGAAAACCTTCACTCGCTTGGAAAGATCAGGTGAAAGAACAGTGGCTAACGCAATGTAAGAATTTCTGTCTGATTTCTACATATCGAAGTTCCCTCACCTATCAGACCGACCAGATGATTGAGGAATAACAAAAGAACTTTCTAGAACACGAGACCCGTACAGTCTTAGCGCGGTTCAAGAGTGCGTTATATGTATTGCAGGCAAAATGTTTACTTATCTGGATTACGACGCTGCTTACCTGGTCTTCGTTCCGTACCGGAAGGTGCAGTAGGTATTGTCCGACCTCGTCGAAAAAGTTTGTTATTGTATAGCCCATCGTTGATTTCTCGTCTCTGAGAGCTTTTATAATTTCAAAAGTGTTTGTGAGTTCCTTATCTTTCTCCCAAGGTCTTAGCAGACGTATCATGATCTTAGAGATCCAAAGTTAAAAAAGAATGCATATCGAAGGTTATAGTTTATTTAAAATTTTATCACATTTAATTTATTGCTTAACTGCTTTATTCCTTTAATATAATAATTTTAAGTATACTTAATTTCTTAGTTTAAAAAAATTATAATTTTTCTATATTTTCCACCACTCAGAACCAATCGGGCATCTACTACGATGTGGACTATGAGCCATCTGGCAATGGTATTGGCAATACGAGTGTAGATCATCTATATGGTTCACAAAATCAGTCATCATCCCATTCACACACGCACTCACACACACACAGTGGCAATAACCATATACCAGGACCGCAAGGCATACCAATGAGCACGTATACGTCAGGACGAGCGCCGAGTAGTTACTACATGAAATGAAATGGATGGCAGGAGTAGTTTGTGGAGTAGATTATTTAGTATATGTATGTATTTGTAATGTTTGTATGTAATTAAAATTATATATATATAGGGTGTGTATATGTATGTATTATTAAAGCAATTATTTTTGGTGGAAAAAGTAAAAAAAAAGAAAGAAAAAATATTTACAAGTCGACGAATAGTGCCTACACACCCTGAGGGCTGACAGTTCATTTACATAGATAACAAAAACAAATATATTCGTTAAACTTGAGGGTTCATTTAAAATCGTTTTATATGCCTTAAGAGCTAGTCGTTAAGTGAGTATGTATGTAAAAACGGAGTAAATTATGTAAAACAATATATGTTATTTTATCAAATAATATATATATATATATATATATATATATATATGTATACTTAAAAAAATATATACATACATATATTTATTTATATATATTTCAAATATATAATATATACTTATATATGTATATAAAAATTTTTTAAAACTTAAAATAAGTACTTTATTGATTTAATACTATTAATGTATTATTTATTTAGCTCTAAATATAATTTTTAAATAAATTAAGTCTATTTATTTTTTAACAATCATAATATAATATTATATGTATTAAACAAATGAAGAAACACAATTTTGCAATAAATTAACCTTAGATTAGGAATTAATTTTAATTTAATTCAAAATTAATAATAATAATTTTAATTTTTTTAATAATCTGCGCAATTGTTTATAAAAAAACTATTAATTTCACCATAAATATTATAAAAATTAATTATTTTAAGATTTTAGTGTACATAAATACATATGTACATATGTGTACATACATACAATATGGTAACGATTAAAATAAATTTAATTATAATAAAAAAATTCTGACTTTTTTTTGGAAAAATTGTCCACAAAAAAATGTTGCACCGAAATGATAAATTAACCTGTAGATGGGCGATAAATATATATATATATATATATTAATAAGTAGTGTAATTCTGTAACTTTTATCTACACGATTTGGCGGCTGGCAAAGTTGCGGATTTTTCTTCGCTTGCACTAACGATTATGCGATTCTCTAACTTGGTTTTTACGATAATCGGCAGTGGCCCGGTGGGTTCACGAATACACTTACACGATTTCGATTTTAGCCAACTTTTCACACTGCATCCCTCGGTAGACAAAGCGAAACGACGTGTAATCCGCCGTAAGCGCAAACTGCCAAACACCAGCGCGGTGCTTGATTTCTCCAGGGAGGAGATTCAGAGGGTCATCGGGAAGGCGAAAGCCTCCAAATCCATCGGTCCCGACGGAATAAGCATGCTGATGCTGAAACACCTTGAACCAGCGGGAGCAGAATTTCTCACGAGGGTCCTCAATTTGTGTCTGACCACCCTGAAGATACCCGATGTGTAAAAATGGGTAGGGTGGTTCCGCTACTTAAACCGGGGAAATCAGCCAACAAAGGAGAGTGCTATCGGCCGATAACTCTCCTCTCCCCAGTAGCGAAGACACTTGAGGCCTTACTGCTTCCGACCTTCACTCACCATTTGCGTCCAGCAGCGCATTAGCATGGCTTCCGAAAAGTGCACAGCACCACAACAGCACTTAACGCCATAAACACCCAGATAGTCCATGGCCTTAACCAAACCGACCCTGCGCGCGAGCTGTCCTAGTAGCACTGGACTTCTCAAAAGCTTTTGACACAGTCAATCACTCAGTGCTACTAACGGACATTGAGGAATCCTCATTACCGCCGGGGTTGCAGAGGTGGGCCATGGGTTACCTGAGTGGTCGACAATCATCGGTAATTTTCCGAGGTGTAACATATAAACCTAGAAAAATTAAACAGGGGGTTCCGCAGGGTGGTGTCCGCTCCCTGCTACTGTTTAACTTTTACATCTCGAGACTTCCTCCACCACCAGAAGGAGTTTCCCTATCCTCGTATGCCGATGATTGTATGATAATGGCGTCTGGCCAGGATATTGATGACTTCTGCTCGAAAGTAAACGGCTACCTCGCTGATGTTGTTGTCGTAACCGCAAAAATTATTCCCCAAAGTACTTTTTGGGGAATGTTGCGGGAGTGACAGTCCTTGGCCGGATTAAAATCCGGGTCGTTCCGGTATAAAGACCCGACTGTCGCGAGAACTATTGGATTTTAGTCGCCTCTTACGACAGGCATGCCTTACGGCGGGTAAATTCTTGAGCCCCTAACCCGCAGGGGGTGCTACCTCGCTGATCTCTCCCACTTCTTCACTGCAAGACAACTACGAATTCAACCGACAAAATCCTCGGCTACCCTCTTCACCAGCTGGACGAAGGAATACAGGCTTGAACTAGATGTGAAGGTCGATGGCAAAAAAATTCCGACTGTAAACAACCCAAAAAATATATTGGGGGTAACCCTAGATAGCTTGCACTCCTTCACTCCGCATACGACCGCAATTGCCGCAAAGCTCCAGAGCCGTAACAAAATACTCAAAGCGCTAGCCGGCAGCACCTGGGGTAAAGATAAAGAAACTTTGCTGGCTACTTACAAAGCAATTGGCCGGCCGGTCGTAAACTATGCTGCACCGATCTGGACGCCGGGGACGAACGAGACACATATGAAGAAGTTACAGGCTTGCCAGAACACCGCCCTCAGGACCGCCCTCAGGACCGCGACAGGAAACCTCCTGATGTCACCGGAGCATCACTTGCACAGGGAAGCATCTATGCTACGAGTTAAGGAGCATAATGCTTTGCTGTGCAAGCAGTTCCTATTGGGATGCTACCGCAGGGAGCACACCAGTAGGCACCTAATAGAGGCTGAACCTCCACCTAGGCACATCATAAAGGGAGTACTAGACTTAAAGGACACAATCCAGCAACACATACAGCAACTGCTGGACAGGACGGCGTACCGACAAGCACTGAACGCCTTTCACCAGGAGTCCGTTAACACCTTCAAGGACTCTCTTCCAGTGAATGGCGTACTCGGAGACATACCACCACCCATAGCAGACAACGAGCTCGAGCTGCCTCGCGAGAACCGTGTGACCCTGACACAACTCAGGTCTGGATATTGTAGCAGGTTAAACTCTTACCTATCCAGACAGCATACCCAACGTATGCCCTGCATGTGGAGAGTCTCCGCACTACACTAACCACCTCTTCAGATGCCCCCTCAAACCCACTCATCTAACCCCCCAACTCCCTTTGGTCCAACCCCGTCGAAACAGCTCGTTTCCTGGACCTACCTTTAGATGACCTCGGCGACTTAGACTGATCAAACCTGTGCCTAAGCGGGGTCAGTGAACCGCTACAACAACAACAACAACAACAAGCGGGAGGCATAGGATTTAGCTTTATTATGTCTGTTCTGCCAGCTCTATTTGTCTGATAATACGGGGTGTGAGAGAGTGATGTGTGGGTGTTACTCCGCTCACGTAAATGAGCGTTAAACCGGCTGTCGTGAGAGTCAACAAAATACTCTTTTTTTCTGTGAGTGAAATAATTTAGCAAATTTTCAATAATTTATTTTCATTGTTAATAGAGCGTGTACATGCTATGGATCAACTTATGAATTACTTGCAATGCCTTACATAACCAACACAATTTAATAAATTAATTAGTAGTAATTAAATTAAGAATATCAAAAGAAAGCAACCATTTGAGTTGAGGATATAAGCCTTCAGGTGAAAAAAGCGTAATTGAAACGAGGTTACAATCAAATTAGGTATAAATGAACTAATGTTTGAGATGAACAGCTAACGTCTGCTGAATACACATGTCACACATGCGCATCTTATAAAATTTCAGATATTTTTTTGTTTTGTTTTCAGTTGGATGGTGATACAGAAGTTCGATTACATCTACTTCTTCTTTTTGTTTTTACCCTGTGGTGCACCGGTGAGTGTGGCTAATTCGCCTTTTAGTTTTAACAAGACTTCGACTTCGGGTTTCCACACGCTGGCATCGCCGGCCGCTTTTAATTGGCGTACTTTTTCTCCCTAGCAAAAAAAGAAAAAGATAATTTTATAAGTTTATTATATTGTTTTTGTTTTTTTATTATTGCTTTTTCTCTTACCTGTTGCGTAATACGCTCTTCGAGCTCTTTAGCTTTAGCATTGTCGACGACTGCTGGTGCGGACGCTACTGCAGCTGGTGGCGCAGCCTGAGCAGCAGCCAACTGTTTCTTGAGATCCAACAGCACATTAACTTCCGGCTGCCAAACAGCCTTGTCTTTTGTGGACGCTTTTAACTGACGCACCTTTTCGCCTTGCAAGCGCACAGCCTCTTCCAGTTGAGCTACTGTTTGTGTGCCATTAGGCAGCGAAGCAGCGGGCTTTGCAGTGATGGTATTTGACTGGGGAGCGTTGGCAGGTGTCGCCTTGTTGCCATTACTTTGATCCTGTACACCGCCAAATTTCTTTTTCAACTCGTCTATGAAACTTTGTTCCAATTTGGTGAATAACGGCGCTGGTTTGCCGATCTTGTGGCCAGTTGGTAGGAAAATGTTAATGAATGGTTTGCTAAAAGGTATAATATTAAAAGATATTAGTTTATTAGTTTTATTTAAAATTAATAAGTTGCTAATAGTTTTGCCACTTACTCTGGATTCAGTTGAGTCTGTTTGGTGTTCAATTGCGCGAATAAAGTGCGTGCAATAGTTGGCATATATGGTAACATAAGATCAGCTAAGAGTGCAGCGATGTTAGCGCACACGCCAATTATGGTAGCAGCGCGTGCCTTCTGCTCTTCCGTGCCCTTTAACAGCACCCAAGGTTGCTGCGCTTGCATGTAGCCATTGCCATGACGGGATATCGAGAGCATATGACGTATACCGTCGCGCAGTTTAGCCTTTTCTAGTGAATTAATATAGCCACGTACTTCGCGGTTAATAAGCGCCAACAAAACGAGTTCATCTTTGGTCAGTGTCATGGTGGGCACAATGCTATTGAAGTTCTTTTCGCAGAAAACCAGTGCACGATTAACAAAATTGCCCAAATTGTTTAGCAAGTCGGAATTGTTACGCGCTGCCAAGTCATTCCAACTGAAGCTGGAATCTTGACCTTCGGGTCGCGCGGAAGCCAAGTAGAAACGCCAAATATCGGCCGGAATGCCAGTTTCCTAAATAAAAATCAGAATTTTATTTATTATTATTTAAGTGGTTTAATTGTTTTTTCTTTCATCTTTCATACACACACACACCTGTGCATCATTACCGAACACGCCAATACCACGACTCTTACTGAATTTACCATCTTCATAGTTCAAATATTCGGTCGCCATAATATTCGTGACCATGGTGTGCCCCTTATTGGTAGCCAATAAAGATGAAGGAAATACAACAGAATGGAAGGGTACATTGTCTTTAGCCATAAATTGGAAGAGTTCCACTTTAACATCCTTCGCAGGTATCCACCACTGCTTATACTCGCTGGTGTAATGCTTGGTCATAGAGATATAACCGTAAGGCGCATCGAACCACACATAGAATACTTTATTTTCGAAGCCAGCGAGTGGCACTGGTATACCCCATTTCAAATCACGAGTAATACAGCGCGCTTTGAGACCTTCACGCAACCAAGAACGTGCAATGACACGCGCATTATTCGTCCACCCCATTTCGGAACTTTCCATCCACGCACGTAGCTGTGGCTCAATTTTAGGTAAATCGAGGAAAAGTTGCTCGGTAGAGCGTACCACAGGCGCGCTGCTGCAAGTTTTGCAACGTGGTCGTATCAGCTCGGTAGCATTGACTAGTTTACCACATTTATCGCATTGATCGCCGCGTGCATCTTCATAACCGCAACCAAGATGAGGGCAGGTACCCTCAACGAAACTGTAAACAAACACAGAAAATTTTTATTTTATTCCTCTACACTTATTTACATATAAATAAATATACATACCGATCAGCCAGAAAACGATCACATTTCACACACATCAACTGTTCAACACTTTCCGTGAAGATATAGCCGTTTTTGTAAACGTCATTGAAAGCCTCCTGTACAATTCTATAAGATAAATTAATATTATCAGCAAACGTATACTTTTTTGCGACTCAGATAAACTCACTCAGTTTGCTGTGATGATGACGTACGACCGAAAAAATCAAAACCTATGCCGAACCAGCGGTAAATAGAATTGTGAAGGTCAAAATATTTATCACAAATTTGTTTTGGTGTTAGATTCTCTGCAAGTGCCTTATTTTCAGTCGCCGTGCCATATTCGTCAGTACCACAAATGAAGAGAGTATTATAACCGGCAGCACGAGAGTACCTTTAAAATATAATACAATTTTACACATATGTATATATGTACATATATCAAAAGCTATTAACAAATTTCTTATAATACTAACCTTGCAAAAATATCCGCCGATAAGACACAGCCGATAATGTTACCCAAATGTGGCACATTGTTGACGTAAGGTAAGGCAGATGTTATCAAAACATTACGTTCGCCCACTTTAGGCAACACTGTACGTGGCTCGATACGCTGTGGTACTGAGACTTGCACAAAACTATTTCGCGCATTATTTAATTCATCCTCTGTGACTGTATCGCTCAGACTACCTGCCGTTTCTGCTAACAACTTCTCCGATTCGGATACCGAATGCACATGTACGGGCACAAGGCTCAGACCACCATACCGATTGGAGTTTAGTAGTGAGGTAAAAGTTAGACCGGCTAATGGGGTTTCAGCTAATACCGCTTGTACCTCTGGCAGTGCAGTTACCTTGCGATACCAAGCTTTGAGATACTCAATATTTTGTGCACCTTTCAATGTGCCATCAGGTGCCAACAATGACCATACAGCAATATCTGCCGCAGTCAATTTGTCACCTGTTAAGAAGGGTGATTCTGCTAAGCGATCATCCAATTTACGCACTAACAAATTTAGTACTGGAAGAGCATCAGGATTAGCACGATGACCGCTAGCTAAATGTTGGGCCAAAGCAGGCGCTAAATTAACGGTAGACCATTCAAGCCACTAAAATATTAATAAAAAAGTTGATGTAATTTCAGTACAAATTTAATGAAAAATAACAGTAAATGCCCTAAACACTAACCTCATCTCGAAGGGCACCTTCATCGGGAAATAAATACTTGGCTACGGCATCTGTGGAAAACAACTTCAAACCATTTTTCAACTCAACTGTGGGTAGCACCAAAAAATCTTTACAAATCGGATCTAGAAATGAAAGTTGTTTATTGCATCACCTTAAATTTTAACCGAACTTCATCTGTTTCTTTGGAATTGCACTAAACCATGACGAATCACCACAAGTGCCACTTGAACAACACACAACTATTGAAGGCCAACTACAATGCTTACCATTTAATGCCACTTTAAACACTTCCACGGGTTTATTAGCAAATTTTGCCAACAATTGTAATTTAAATCCAAACGGATTTCCTTCATTGGTATAAATTTTCATATTTGGTATTTTATCCAACATGAATTCTTCAATATCTAATACCTCCCAAACACGCGACAAAACAAGTTGACAGATACCAATTGAAATTGTTGAATTTGGGCAGTTGCCACGACTTTTCAGAGTTCAATTGATGCAGTGCTGCATTTTATGGTATCGAAAAGAGAACAAAGGAGAAAAAAAATTTATTTATTTAGATACACATACATCGACCTTGTATAACATTAAATCATTAATATTATATTAATTACTTGAATGAGAAGTTAAGCTATTTTTCAGAAATTTTCATAAATGCATTTTTATATATCAAATCAAAGGAAAAATGGTCTGTTGTAATTTTTCCTCTGTAGTGTAATTAAACAGCTGACTTCTAACCAGAGTATAGAGGCGTATGGAAATTTTAAGCTGTTTTACGAAATCAGCAAACAGCTGAGAGCAGCCTATGTACTTGACCAATAGTTCCTTGGATTGAATACAGATTTTGACAACCAGCATGGTGAAATTTTGTAGGGCGCAAGGTTGCTTCGATTGTTTTTTTTTAATATCTCAAAAAACAAAGTTGCAAAACTGTTCTTCGGTGGAAAATATGATTTCCATAATAACGTTTTATATATATATTGTTATTTTATTCAAATATTTATGACATTTGCATTTTTTCAATGTGCCCCTTTATTAAAATAGTACTTGCTAAGATATAAGCCAAGAAAAATAGTAGTATGCTAATAAGCAATCTCTTTGGGGTGAATGTAACATATTCATTATATTTCAACGTATTTCATAAATATTGGCGAAAGTGTACGAAATTTTTAATACAAAAAGTCTTCAACAGGGTTTTGTTATTTATTGTTAGCAGGAAATGAGATAAAACTAAAAATGCTTAAAGAATATTTAAACTAACAATTCAGACTTTTATGTAATATTATTCTTATATAATGTTTATTTATTTTTGAACAATTTTTCTTGTTAATTTTTATAAAATAGATAATTATAAATTTCTTTTTATTAGGTCTAAGAATAAAAATTCTCTATTTAAAGAGTGTAGAATCAGTAAACATTAAAAAAATATTAATAAACGGATTCAGGGCGAAAAATAAATTATTTGAAAATTGTACTGCTGCAATTATTACGTATTGTAGTGCTAAGGTAAAGAATAGTATTTTTTGAGATTAATATATTTTTCGCAACTGTGCAAGCCCTTGTCTTATTTCACCATACTTTGCGACACTGGCGACATCTAGTCTGAGCGGCACACTTCGCGGTGCAACAGCTGATAGCTTCCAAACTCCTCTATAATTTCTGCTGACTTACGCTATTGTGAATAGCTAGCTATAGGTCATTTCGGTATTTACACATTTTGACACAATAGTTATTTAGTAAACACATATCGAGTAGGTGGTTGAAGATTGTTTATCTAAATTTTTAAGGAGCACACAGTAAAATGGGAGAACGCAAAGGACAAAATAAATACTATCCACCAGACTATGATCCCAAAAAGGGTGGCCTCAACAAATTCCGTGGCACGCATGCACTTCGTGAGCGTGCTCGGAAGATTCATCTGGGCATTATCATTATACGTTTTGAAATGCCATACAATATATGGTGCGATGGCTGCAAGAATCACATAGGTATGGGTGTACGTTACAATGCGGAAAAGACGAAAGTGGGCATGTACTACTCTACCCCTATTTACAAGTTTCGTATGAAATGCCACCTTTGCGACAATCATTTTGAAATACAAACAGATCCAGGCAATTTAGATTATATTATATTATCTGGAGCGCGTCGTCAAGAGAATCGTTGGGACCCTTTACAAAATGAGCAAGTTGTGCCTGAGACTAAAGAAGTGCAGAAGCGTTTGTTCGATGATGCTATGTACAAGTTGGAACATCAAGCGAAAGATGTTAAAGCTGGTGAAGATGCTAAGCCGGTGCTGGAGCGTTTATTTGACCGTAATCGTACTGTTTGGGATGACAATTATGAAGCGAATTGTCGGTTGAGGGCAGAGTTTAGAGTAAGTTATTTAATTATATACACTGTAACTGTAATTAATTTATGTACTTATAGGCAAAGAAAAAAGATTTAAAAGCACAAAAGCAACTCGACGATCAACTACTTGCAAGGAATAGCCTTGAAATTACGCTTCTACCTGAAACTGTGCAGGACAAACAAATGGCAGAACTAATGATGCTGCAGAGCAAATCAGCCCACGAACGAGAAGCCGAGAAAAGATTGGATATACTGATGAAACCTGCACTTCCAGGTGCAACTAAAACAACGTTTGGCGGCTTGAAACGACAGAAAATACTTAATGCACATTTACAATTTGGCGATTTAGGTATAAAAAAGAAATCAAAAGATGAGTGTGCAGCAGGAACTGCAACAGAAAGAAACTCCACCGAAATAGAAAACAAAAGTGAGGTAGAAAAATTCAACGGATTGTTTAAACAAAATAAAAACTCAGAGACTGTAAAAGCTAAGTTACTGGATACGCCAAAGAGTTTGGCTTTAGTCTGTGATTATAATAGTAGTAGTGATACCGAAAGCAGTTAATTTAGAAACATTTAAATAAATGAAAAATTAAGTTTTATTATGTAACATTTAAATATACAACTAACAGACAGAAGTAATGTTATGAGCATGGATTCTAGTATAAATAAAACTTCATAATAAGATATGTAATACACTTATACTTAACATTTAAATTATAATTCGGCTGTATGACAAACAGGTTCATTAAATCCGGCGCTTTGGATGTCAGCATCCGTAGCATATAATATGGCCATAGCACGTTCACATAATTCGCTACGATCCGTGAATTCCTTTAAACTAAAATAAAATGTTTAAATATAGTTATACATCCTTCTACAAGAACCAATAACACTTTCCACTTACACCTTCTCTACTTCAAGTAGTTTATTGTAATAAAAGTTCCTCTCATTCAGCAATATTGCAGTCTGCAAAAGAGGATAATAAGTTTGTATATATGGGTATGTATACATATATTCCTTGGAGGAAACGAACCTGTTCCGTCAGCTTTTCCTTAGTCTCCTGCAAAGCTTGCACTGTTTTCGGTGTACTAGCCTCATCCTCATTGAGACGTGTAGAATTCGCCGTTGGTGGTGTCATTGCCGGTCCCCCATCTTTATTTAATGCCTTTTTCGCTGGTTTCATAGCTTGTGGCACTTGTGGTTTTTGTGTAATTGGAACTTTTAAGTTTTCCTTACCAGCTGCATGAACATCATAAAATTTTTTAAACCATTGTAAAAATTCAAAATTATCCTGAAAACGCTTCTTTATTAAACGTTCTATCGGCACCGACTTTTCATAGTTGATGCGTGTGAAAGCCATTTGAAAGAGTTTAAGATTGTGCACATACTCATGCTCTAACTTTGGATTCATCTTGATCTTTTTCAATCCTACTGAATGTGGAAAGATCATTTCCATCATTTGACAATAGGCAACACCCGAGCATAGATCCTCAATCTTTGTATATTCAGCCTGTACGGTGGTATTCACCCAACGCAGCATCTCATGGCGAGATATTTTCTCCGACGAGGCATGCGTTAGCGCAACAGGTATTTTTACATCGGCTACAGCGTGTGCACTCATTTTGATGAATTCAGAAGAAAGAATTTAAAGCTTTCCAAACAAAAATAATGGCAATAACTTTTGATTATTCTTAGAAAAATATTCACTTTGAGTAACGGATTGAACTGTAGCTTTGGCGCTAAAACAACAGAGTAAACAAACTTGATGAAAGTGATGACAAACAGCTTAATGTCACTCAAATAAGCCCCAAACAATGTGACCCTGTAGGAAAAGTGAATACTTAATTCTGCAGTGGTCAAATTAATTTCGACTTAATTTTTGACATCCCAATTCGAGTCTGTATGAAGGGTTACTAGTCTCCCATTATAAAAAATTAAATTGAAATTTTTTATTGTAAAACATTTAAATATCTGCAGTATTATGAAAAACAGGAAAAATAACTGCCCTGTAAGAACTCTACCATTAATTGCAGCCTTTAACTAAGAAATAAGGTGAACTAATCGAATGGTTACTTTTCTGACCTTTTCTGCTTTGGCGGCCCATTACATTAGCAGGACGAAGAAGTACTGACTGACTAAAGTGGAATGTAGAAGCCATTGATCCCAAAACTCCGACTGCGAACAACTCAAAGTTACTGGGAGGGGCAGCCGACAGCTTGCAACATGCAGACTCTGACGAAATCCTCAAGTCGCTAGCCGGTACACCACCTGCATTTCGAGACATCTGTGCGCCTTAATAAGCTTAATTAGTTAAGCTTGATTGTATTGCTAATAGTTTCAGCCAGAAGGAGTAAGTCCGAGAGGACTCTATACCACAATACCTAAACGGTCAGCCATTCAAAGATATAATCAATACCTTCTTTAACTTTTTTCTCGTGAATGATGTTATTGTAACCCGATCATCCAATAAATGAAACGAGGTGCTCCAGCTAACATGCCCAACCTACGTCCCCGGACGTCACACGCCAGTTTATTACATGTCTCCGTTCAGCTCTTTTGTCACCCCTCTCTTGTATGCTCTTGCCTGCATCTAAGCTAAGCGTGAAGCAACAAGTTAATCTTAACCGATGATTGGTTCCCGGCTGGGGTCCTCACAGATCCATAAGTCATATAGTTGTCAGCTTGCCGTCCATCGCAATACATAAAGGGTTGTGGGGTCCTCGTGATCTCACCAAACATTCAAACTAATAAACGTTTTAAAATTTTTGGAGACATTCTATTATTGGGAATCAAAAGCAGGTTCTCAGAATTTTCTTTAGACAAGTTTACTAAATTTCTCCACTTTCGTAACAAATTGTATAAAATCTAAATGCAACAATTTTGGCATTTCTAAAGCTATAAAGTGTCCACCATCCTTATAGTAAGTGCTGTGAATTAGATTCCGATATTTGTCCTTGAGTTGATCGTCGTGAAAGTGTACTAAATCATTTTTAAAGCGTGCACAACCGGTCGGCACATCTGTCGGAACATTATCCATATGCAGTTCACGTTGCGCCTCCGAATGGGTTTCGGCGAACATGCGTGTAGACGTCGTTATAGAATTAGTCAGATAATAGATCATGACATTGTCGAGAAGTGTATCTAGCTGAAAACGTTTTTCTAGTCCGCCATTAGACTTATTCCTGTTATTCTTATTGGTCAAAGAAGACCATATATCCAGTATATAGGCAGCTAAACCAACGGGATTATCACTGAGTACGGTGCCAATCGTATCAGGTTTTGTCGCTTGTAAATGGTAATAACCGGTTGCTTCCAGTAAATGTTCGATCACCTTCCAACGAGGGAAAAATTGTGCATCGAAACCATGGCGATTGAGGAAGCTAGGCTTCAATGCATTGAGCACACCCTTCATGAGCGATCTGCCCGTGAAGACGGTGCAGAAGCTTGAATGATATCCAAGCACATTCTCTGGAAATAATGTAGCCATGTGCGAGCCAATCAGCGAGCCAAAATCTCCGCCATGTATGAAGAATTTCTGATAACCTAAGCGTAGCATTAAATTGCGCATAATGACAGCAACCTGTACAGGGCCCAAGCCCACACGCGATGTGCCCTGCAGAATATATAAAAAAATTTATGAAATTAAATAGATTTGATGACATTTCTTGAGACAAACCTCTGACCAAGCGAAGCCCGGTATGCTTGGCACTACCACATTGAAAATATATGGGTTCTTTTCATCTGGATGTGTCTGATGGAGCTTGTGTATAAGCGGATAAAATTCACGTATCGAACTGGGCCAACCGTGTAGTAGCAGCACTGGGTAATTATGTTTGCCAATTTTATTCTCCTCGTAAACCATTAAGTGCAAAAAGTGCATACGTAGACTGTAAGGACAAAAGTAAAGTGAAAAAGTGTTTAGTTCGAAGACCTCATTAATCCTCGGAGGGCTTAACATTTCCCTGCAGAGGAGCGACAGCAATTTGAAAATTTAATTTTCTATAATTTTGGATGTTGGTTGAACCAGGACTGGAACTGTGGACTGTAAAATGGCCGTACGCAATGCTAACCACTCGGCCCACATATCGATTTAATTTATTTAGATGAAACTTTTGGTTTCTTTCCCATAGTTAGCCTGGAAACCAAACAACTTTGCCTTTGGCTGAGAGATCTTGAGCATCAACGCAGATCCAGCAAAACTTTTTTGCTACTGCTTAATGGAATTTCGGTATGATTGAAGATCCTTTTACAAATGTTTGCCGGAGAACTGTGACACTGGCAACTGTACTGAGGTACGCAAGAGGCAAAACATTCACTAAGGAGAAAAGGCGACCGAGAAGAGCAGCACCTCGTCGAAATATACAGGAAGCAGCAGGCTTTTGGACAATTAAACCTTGTCAACTCAAAAAAAACGAGTCTAGCGAGAGGGAACAGAACCTCGCCATCATGGAAGCCTTAGTAGAGCGAGTGTTATTAGGTACCTTTATAGCAGAGCTCTAAATCCGCCAGAACCAGAGCAGAAGAAGCAGTGTAGCGAATAAGCCAGTCATTAGACGGTAACCTGCGCTGAGAGTACCGACGCTGGCATTATCGTCGAAGAAATCGAATCGCCATAGAACCTCTGACTGTAAACAGACTACGATGTCAGCAGTTTTGATTGTAGCAGAAAAGCTGTTAATCAGAGTAGCCGTTGTGTGTAAGGACTTTGTATAGCTGTTCTAACGGCGACTGTTATCCAAGATACGATAATGGAAGCGATTATTAAAGCTTGGCTGAAGCTTCAACTGAGTCTCTTTCAGGCCGGGACTACTAGCAGCAGACTGAAGAGATAAAAGTACAGCGGAACGGCTGATCAAGCCCAGAACTGACGTCGAGAACAGTTAACTTATTTAATTATTCCTATTTCGGCGTGTGATTCTGGTATAAACTCAAAAGCCTTTAGCCAACTGAATAGGCATACTCGGTATGAGTATCAGAGAACCGCTATAAACTTACCCCTGAATTTCGGTTGTGAAATGATTAAACTGCCACATAAACACTTCACGCCCACGCCAACGTGGTAGATAATCATCACGCCAGTATTCGATGATTCTCTGTAATTCCTGTGTGTTAAAACCATAACTAAAATCAGGACTGAGTGATTCCGTGAGGTGTAATGTGCGATTTAACTGTTTACGCAGGTCGTCGATAGTCTGAAAATGGAATTGAGAAGTTTTTTTTTTAATATTGTATGTTTTTTTGTTCTTGCAAATTTCCTGTCGGCAATGTGACTCACCTCATCCGGAAACATCAATTTATTGCCGCGCACCTTTGAGGAGTTTTTTAAGTATGCCGCCCAGTCTGTGGGTTCTACGTCATCACCCCACCATTGTTGCAGCGGGACCTTCGGCGGCTGAGCGTCTAAGATGATGTTTAAATGCTTATAAGCGTAGATTGAGGCGACTAAGGAAAATATGCCCAAAAGCCATTTCTTCGTTTCCGACATTTAATTAAGTTCTTATTGTCACATAAATAAAATCAAATCACTTGAACTGGAGCTGCACTCTTAGCCGCCGTTCTGTGGCCGTTGTTGATTGGTAAACGTTTGTTGAGTTTCTGACCACGCGTAAAGCCAAATAATCTTCATGCTTCGTTATCAGAGGGCAATTGGGCGTTTTGGGCTTTGAGGGAGTTGAGGGAGCTGCGTTCGTATATACAATAGATATTCAATATTACCGTTATTGATAGCATTATATGTATGTATATGTATATGTATGTATGCCTGAGTGCAAAAGTGACAATGTCGAGCACTTTAAGATTTAGATATGATAAGATCCGCAGAAACTTTAAATATATTTTGAAGCGTTAAAAGCGGAAACCAAAAAAACGAATTGATTAAAGGTAAAATTTTAATGAAATTATATGGCATACTCGTATATAGATACAAAAATTAACAAAAAAAAATTGAACAAAAAAGAAGAGCTATCGTCGGTGATGCCGAACTCTTTATACCCTTCATGAACATATCAAAATTATGAGTGCATAAGTTCGTGCCCGATTTCAAGTGCAAACTAAAATTGAAATTTTTTGAAGAAAGCGCTTTTATTAATCAACTATATATTCGCCATCATGTTCGGCAATCCACTCCCAACGTTCTACCAATTTACGGATGCCTGATTCATAGAAATCGCGCGGTTTCTCATTGAAAAAAGTGTCAAGGTGGTTTTTGACGTCTTCCACATTTTTAAATTTTTTTCCATTCAAATTGTTCTGCAGCGATCGAAACAAATGATAATCAGAAGGTGCAATGTCGGGTGAATATGGGGGATGCGGCATGATTTCCCAATTCATCTCCTTCAGTTTGGCCAGGGTCGGTTTTGCAACATGTGGCCTGGCGTTGTCATGATGGAAAAGAACTCCTTTGCGATTGGCCAAAATCGGACGTTTTTCATCAATTGCTTTCTTCAATTCGACCAATTGCTGACAATACTTGTTGGCAGTGATCGTTTCTCCAGCTGGCAAGAGCTCAAAATAGATCACGCCTCGGATATCCCACCAAATGCACAGCAGTACCTTCATCGGATGCAATCCACCTTTCGACATCGGTTCCGCCCCTTCGTGTGCCTGTTTCCATGTTCTTTTGCGTTGAACATTGTTGTACAGGATCCATTTTTCATCACCAGTCACGAGCCGATCCAAAAAAGGTTCGTTTTTGATCCGTCGAAGCAAAGAAATTGCTGTTGACATACGGTCCACTTTGTTTTTTTCACTCAACTGATGTGGCACCCATGTATCGAGCTTCAAAGTGTACCCAACCTTTTTTAAACGACGAAACGCAGTTGATTTGTTGACGTTCAATTCACTGGCAACCTCTTCCGTCGAAATACGTGAGTTATTCGCAACTAAAGTCCTTAGAACATCGTCATCAAGCTCAGAAGGCCGTCCACTGCGAGGTTGATCTTCGAGGTTAAAATCTCCAGAACGAAATTTCGCGAACCATTTCTTTACTGTGCGGAGTGCTGGAGCACGGTCCAAATAAACTTCGCGAATATCTTTAGTTGCAGCGCCTACTGTTTTTCCTTTGCGGAATTCGTATAACATAATATGACGCATATGATCTTTTTCGTTGTCCATCTTCCATGCGTCTTTTCACTAAGCAACTCAAATCAAAATGAAGTTATTTTATGCTTGATTTACAGTTCGGACTGTCACCTTTCCAATGATATATAATATGTATATATTTCTTTCACGAGCGCTACTCTCAAACGATTCGAACGGCATCCAGCGGAATCGGGCACGAACTTATGCACTCATCAATACACACGGAGGCCTTGACATTATCTGCCGAGGGGCGGCCGCAACTAGCACCTTTTTATTTAAATCAAGTTTCAATCATTTTTACATGTTGTTCGAACCCTGATCTTCCGAATGACTAACCCAAATCACTATGTCATTGCAGAAGCTGAGGGACTAGTTTGCGCAAAAGCAAAGGGACACACGGACCAGGCTAAATAGGTAGACATTTTGATTAGTCAATCCCTTCTACTACTGCTACTCTCACACTTCGGACCAACGTTAATCTATTACTTCTTGTACATGAAGGGTATAAGAAGAAATTTGTGTGTGTGTGTGTGCCCCTTCTTCGCTGCTCAAAGTCTTTCACGAAAATGTTAATGTGAATGTCTCGTAGTAAGCCGAACGCACCATTTGGATATAGGATGATTTGGTACTCAAGTTGAACCCGGAGCCGCAAAATAATACAAATGCGAAGCGAACATAGCTACGCTTGATCTATGCTGATATCAAAATCGTACTAGTTTTAGTCGGTGATCCCTTTGCCGTGAAGAAACTATTACTTATGTTTACAGATCTTTGAATGATTTCTAGAAAACAGAAGTATACTTCCCGTAAGAATGGAATTTCAAGCAATTCGAACCACAAATTATAGTCCACGCACCGTTAAGAAGAGCAGTTTTCCCACAATCTAAGCAGGAAGTCACTTTTGAACCGAATAAATAAGATTTTTTGAAACAGGTCAGTCTTAGATCCACTTTCCGGAGAGAATAGCAGCCTTCCCGATCTAATTCCTGGAAAGAAGAGTAGTCTTGCTGCTAATCTCGGCACAGAGACAAAATCGAAACTTAAATAGGATTTCTTGGAATAGGTTCGTCTCTGGTCCACTTACCGGAGAAGGGTATAATTACTGTTAATCTGAGCAAAGAAAAACTCGCCGTATTTCAAGTAAATCGAACCATAAATAAGATTCTTCGTATTTTTTTTCGTATAAACCTTTTCAGGAACCAATCAAAAACAATCTAAAAACATTTCAAGTTAATTGGTCGGTAGCTTTTGGATTTTCTTTATACGAAAATATTCGATTTATTATTTTTATTTAGGAAAAAGTATTAAATCAACATACATAAATGATGTAGTATTTAACTAGTATGAAGCTGGTGCATAATTGGACAGTTGACGCTTCGTGACACAAATTCGTCTAATGTAGAAAGGCGATGGATTATGGACTAGTTAGTGTAGAAATAAAAACTAGCAGCATTCTCTCTGGCGATAGTGCAAGTCTTGGTCTCTACTGGTTGATTATCAGTTTTTCCAAAAAGTGATTTTCACTTGCTTACTAAGTTCGAAGTAGCAGTAGCACTCTAGAGTCATGGAACGAAGTGAATGGACATTTACCGAATAGTATTCTGCCTGATGTTATCTCAAATGTTTCTCTCTGCTTCATTCCGCCAAAGCCCTCTAGCGATTTCTGCCTAAACACAAATAGAGTTCCATTCGATTTTTTTTTTTGAATCTGCGCCAGTTGAGAAGACCAAGGGTTGCCTGGGCTTACTCAACTGGACCACCTTCTTCAGCATCGATTGCTTAATCTAGCCAGCCTAGCCGCTGACATATGGCAATGCCACCATATATCTCATACAGGTCATCGTTCCATCATCTATGGTATTCGAAGTCGTAAGTACACTGCATCAAAAGCTCTCAGCTTTGGCTCATTGGATTTCATCATAGCCAAGTCTAGGTAGACGCAGTTGTTTATGAACGGAGGTATTTCATTTGCTCCTCGTGCACTCCCAGACCGAAGTAGAACTAAATTTTTTTCTAAACTTCAGCATACTGTGGACAACAGTCGCCAGATAACCTTCTTGGGTTCTTCGTGAGTATGTTGTAATCTTCAGTAAGTCACCACATTTCCTCCCAAATTTTTTTAGTATTAGCTCTGCAAGGAATGCCAATCTCTACGAGTGCATTTCAGACATGAAAAAGCTTCTCATCCATTTGGAAATACAACAAGTCGCTCAACACAAATTGCAGAAGAAGCTCGACTGAAAATTGCTTCAGCGTTTACATACATATTTATCTTGCCAAATTTGTGTTAACTTGTCACAATAATAAAGGTATTTTTTGTGGTTTCCAATTCAAGTTGCCTTGTCTCATGTCATGCCATTGAATAACCACTAATTTCTTTAATAGTTGTACGTACATAACCTCCAAATACATTCAGTCTTGCTTCAAAGAGCAACAAGTCTTGCACATTTGTTTGTAATTATGCAGATGGTTCCTACTTACAAACATACTCGTATATATAATATTTTATGTATGTAATTTGATAAAAAAAAATTAACCAAAAAGACGGTGTAATTGTCTAGGTTGATATATGAATCACGCTTCTTTAATACGAGCCACACTTATCAAACTATTAAGCATGTACGTAGGTATGTATGCACATAAAAAGGGAAATTTTGCGATTTTAGATAAAAAAAACTTCTACGGTGCACAGAAGCGGACACAGAAGACTGCCCTCTCTCACAGCGCCGCGATCGACCACAACACTTGCTGGGTGGGATAGAAGGGGGGGGGGGGTGGTTCAGACGGGAAGCGATGAAAATTTGCTAACAAAAAAACAGAAGTCGGAATCCGTGAATGCGCTTTGAAAGATGACTTACCTTGGTGAATATTACATACGAGGGGTGACAATTAAGTAATGAGATTGTTTATATTGTCGTGATTGTAGTAACCCTGCGACCTTGAAATTTTCTTTCCCTTCTCCCGCTATCCTTCTACTCTCCATTGATATATTCGCCATCGCTCTAGCTTGTTTAGTTCGTCTGGTGTGTCGTGTTGAGTAAACGTATGTGCGTGGTGCTCATCACGAAAATGGAAAATCGTTATTAAGAGCAATGCGGGAAATTAGTCGAGGTGTGGACTGACACGAATGCACAGCGTGTGCGCGCTCTAATCCGTGAAGATCGATGTTTAACAGTTCGAATATTGGCGTCGAAACTGGGTATGAACCAAGTACTCCAAAGATTGCGAAAGAGTGCGCCCAGACATCGTTCGTAGCTGGATCCTTTAGCACGACAACGCGCCGTGCTACACCGCCCTCAGCGTTTCCCAGTATTTGACCTCTAAAGGGATCGCCGTGTTGCAATAACCACATTATTCGCGCGATATGTCACCCTGTGACTTTTTTTGTTCCCTAGAACATGGTTAGAGGAATCCATTTTGAGTCGATTGAGGACATCCAGGCGGCCGTGCTGAGGATAATCGTGGACATCCCATGGAAATACCCAATGGAAATACCCATTACTTAATTGTCAAACTAGGTTTTGTCCTCGCCTTCGTCCACATAGAGATCAAAATTTTATGTCTTTTTCCTTATAAAATATAACAGTTGAATCCACTCTTTCAATAATCTTTTATACACCAAACGCAGAGCACACCCTTCAAGTTTGAGGTCTCCAAGATCAGTGGTTTAGGTTGTGGGTTGATCACTCAGTCATTCAGGATAAATATATATATATATATATATGTATATAGATTTTAGCGCTTCGTAATCGTTTTTCCCTTGTCCCGCTTGTGGTGGCGTGTCTTGATGTTAATCCAATAAATAGAGGGACCCACTGTCTATTCATAGGAGGCTGACGTATTTCAATGGGGAGCTTCTTTTACGTCAGAAATACATTTGGGAGGTTTTGACATTTCCGTCCAAGTTGAAGTTATTACTCCAGCGAATTCAACATTTTTCATTTATTGAAAGAGTTTGCGGATTTTTAAAAGTCAATGCATTTATTATGATTTTTATAATCGATACCCTGAAGCAAAAAAAATGCCAGATATTAGCGTCTGGCCACTGCTATCTCGCTGACATTTCTGATTTTTTCACTGTACGAAATCCTAGGCCACGCTCCAGCAGCTGGATGAACGAGTACCGGCACGAGCTCGATATAAAAATTGATGGCGGAAAAATTCCGGCAACTAACAACCCAGGTTATTGTAGTCACTTTTGGCAGCTTGCACTCTTTCACTCTGCGTACGACTACAATTGCCATAGCAGTATATAGCCGGCCGGTAGCAAACTATTTCGCGGCGTTCGGGATGCCTGTGGTTAGTGAGCTGCAGATGAAGAAGCTGCAAGCCTGCCAGAACACCACATTCAGGACCGTGATAGGAATTCTCCTGTTTCCGACGGATCAGTGAATTATCTATGCAATTTCTGTTTGAAGCAAACTAACAGACATTAACTTGAAACCGAGAAACCACATAGGCACATCAGGAAAGCAGTACTTTCATGACTTTCATATCTAAAAGTTAGTTGGAGGAATCTATCATATATGATAAAAACTTCTGTTCAATGATTTCCGATGTCAATCCCTTTTCTATGTAAAGGGTGTTTCTTTAGCTATTATATTTTTGCCAACACTGGTTTAAATAGCTGACGCACGCTTCGTGTTTTATATCACGGTCAAACATCTTCAGTTTGGTCTATAATTTAACCATGAATCGTCTTACAAATGAACAACGCTTGCAGATTATTGAATTTTATTATCAAAATGCGCGATCTGTTAAGAAAGTTAAAAAAAAAATATATAAAAAAAAAATTGCGTTCAGCGACGAAGCTCATTTTTGTCTTAATGAGGGCGCAAATCAGCCGAATTGTCGATTTTGGAATGAAGATCAGCCAGAAGCATTGCCAGAGCTATGGATGCATCCAGAAAAAGTCACTGTTTGGTGCGGTTTATGGGCTGGTGGCATCATTGGGCCGGACTCCTTCAAAGATGATGCGAATTGTAACGTAACTGTGAATGGAGAGCGCTACCGTGAGATGATTTCAAACTTTTTTTTAGCCCAAAATGCAAGAACTTCACATGTGGTTTCAACAAGATGGTGCCAAATGCCAAACAGCACGCGTAACAATCGACTTATTGAGAGGCAAGTTCGGTGAACATTTTGTTTCACGTTCGGGACCGCCTAAATCGTGCGATTTAACGACTTTACAATATTTTTTGTGGAAAGAGTATGCAAAAATTGGACTAAGCGGATGGACCATGGCGCAGTCACGGTCAACATTTGCATGAAATAATCTTCAATTATTAAATTATATGGACCTTTGCTATATCTCTTAAAAATCACCCTTTAAGTTTGTGGAATACCATTTTCACGCTTCTAGATGATTTTTTGGCCGATTTTTGACCAAAAACTTCTTATCTGAAAAATTAGTCGGAGGGGACTTCGATTTCGATGATTTTTGGCGTCAATATTTTTTTCTAAACACGGAGATATAATACCAAATTTCATGTACCTCGATGCTTTTCTTTGGTCCAAAAACGGAAAAATCCGTCATGTGTAAAACTACAACTAAGCAAACGTTTTTGGGAACTATCAAGATCTATCTTGATCCATCTTGATAGTTCCGACAGATGATTGTTTAAGGGGCACACCTAGTGTGAAGTTTCAAAAAAATCGATCTTTCTTTCTTTCTTTTTCATATTTCGGTAGATTACACCTTTAAAAATAATATATTAAATTTTCAAATCGATATCAATTTTTTTACATGTTCCATATATAGTTCTCCGTACAATGACCTATCGATTTTTGATCTGATCAAAAAATCGAATTCTGACGGGCCAAAAACGACCAAAATTTTGGGTAAAATTCGATTATTTTTTTTAAAACGCCGCCATATTGTCAATTTTTTATTTTTTTATTATCATAGGTATTATCTAGTAGAGATTTTTTTTTTTAAATTTCATCCACGGAGAAGGCCGGAATCACTGCAGCAGTGAAGGACCTTTTTTTCGCGACGTTGGAGATCGACTATAACTTAAAAAATATTTAATTTTTTTCTTCAAAAATTTCACTGTATATTCTTGAAACATGTATAAATATATCCCTAAAATTTTGAAATAATTGATAAAGTATTTTTTTTTAATAATAATTCCCAAAAATCCCTTTTTTTAGGCCATTACACTAGGTGTGCCCCTTAAATGTAGCGCTACCACTGTGTACCATATTTTGCTTAAATATCTCGAAAACTGATGGATCAGTTTGCATACAAATAGACGAGACGACATTTTTCATCTCATCTCTTTTCCTTCTTGTACCTATACATATATTTATTTAGGACCATTTTATTTACTGTTCATAATAAGCATAAAAATTGACTCAATATTATTATTTAAATTACTTTTCTATAATTATTAATATTGCTTCGGTCGGGACTCGAACCCGTGACCTTCTGCATCGTAGTACGCACTGACAACCAAGCGGCTATTGTGGTGTTACACGCGCCCATATATAAAAATGCCATGTTTTATTAGTTATTTTTTATTGGCACGATTATGGCTCATAAGAATCAAGACGCACACCACACAACGGAGCTTCCCCGCTCGAATGAAATTGCCGAAGCAGTTATAAGTTTAAATTATTTATTTTAATTATTTAATTAGTTTAAGCTGCTGGCGTATGCCGATGATGTTGAAACCACTAGCTTTAAAAACCGCGCTGTAAATTCTGATTTCTCCAGACTAGATAAGGAAGCGAAGCGTCATCGCTTTCGCCAAACGGCAGCCACGCCAGTCATTACTTTGAAGTCGTAGATAATTTCGTCTATCTTGAAACCAGCACTAGCACCAACAACTATGTCAGCCTTAAAATCCAGCGCCAAAAGGTGCTACTTTGGATTTAGTTGGCAATTTAAGAGCAAAATCCTCTCTCTAGTCACTCATAATTTCCCTCCTGGATGACGTCGAAATCCGATGAGTCGGCCCTGGAAGCCTTCGAGAGAAAAGTTTTGCCAACGATTTATGGTTCTCCAAGAGTTGGTAACGGCGAATACAGACATACTTCAGCGAATCAAAAGACAGTGGCTACACTGGCGGGGTCATGTGGTCCGGGTGAATACGAATAATCCAGATTTGAAAGCTTTCAATGCAATAACCGCCATTGGCGGCAGAGGAAGGGGAAGACCTTCACTTCGTTGGAAAGACCAAGTAGAGAACAACCGGGCTGCACTTTTGGTTTTGCAAATTGACGCCAAAAGGGGGAAACGAGGTAAAGAATGGTTGTGCTGTTGTTAATCCGGCTACAATCGCGTAAGCGGTGTCTACGCCAGCAAAGAAGGAAAGAAGATTTATTTAATTGTTTTCAATTGTGTAATTTCAGCAATGAATTATTACATTTGTGTTGTTGTAAATGTCAAAGAATTCATTATAAAATAATAAAATTGCTAAATGAATTAGCTTTAAACATACATACATACAATGCTATATACATACATATATAAGCGCAGATGAGATTTCTTTTGATAAAAAATTAAACTTTTATTCATATCGTTATTATTTATATATATATGCAAATATGTATACATATATGTACTCGTATGCATCTGCATTTATCATTTTTTCCACTATTAAAATATGCCCCTTAAAAAATACAAACCCAAAATGTATTTATCAAAACCACGCATTCTTTTAGAAACACCCTTCTGAAGAAACTACCAACTGCTTTATTAATGTCACGAAGAATGACCGAGAGCGAGAGAGAGAAAGAGAAAGAGAACTCAGAAATAAGTTACAATGCCGCTTTCTTCACAAACGCCAACAGATCCTCGTACAGGGTTTGCGGTTTTTCCATAGCCGGAAAATGCCCACCATCACTATAGAAGGTGCTCTGTACGAGATTCTTATACTTATGCTTCAACTCGTTATCCGTGGCATGCATTATGTCCCACTTGAAGCGAACACAACCCGTCGGTGTAAGGATGTGTACACGCTCCAGATGTGTCTGGGTCTCAGACAAAGCCTCTGCGTAGATACGTTGTGATGTTGTTATTGAATTTGTTATATAATAAATCATAACATTGTCCAATAGAGCGTCTAGAGTGAAATGTTTCGTTAGACCACCGTCGGGTAGTTTTCGAAATGACGGATTTGTCCATGTGGAGAACTTCTCCAGTATATAAGCAGCCAAGCCGATTGGATTATCGGTAAGCGCTGTGCCTATGGTGTCCGGTTTGGTCGTTTGTAAATGCAGATAACCGCTTTCTTCAAGCAGATAAGCGCTCTCTTCACTGAAATTTCGAAAGAATGTACGCTGCTCTAAGTTAAGTGAAAAATTCGGTAACCAAGCGCGCACTGCTTTAGAGAATAGCGCCAGAGGATGTAGAGCAACACATAAATTCGAATGATAACCGATAATGTGCTGCGGAAAGAGTGCAGCCATATTGGAACCAATCCTTGCACCCCAATCGCCGCCGTGTACTATATATTTTTCGTAACCAAGGCGTTGCATAAGATTGTTTAGTACAACAGCTATGCGTGCAGTGTCAAAGCCGACCTTCGAGGCGCCCTGGAAGTAGAGATTGTGTTAATGGTTAAAATAAAACAAATAAAATAGAATTCATTGTCTCACCTGCGACCAACCAAATCCAGGCAAACTCGGTGCAATTACTTCAAAAACATATTCACTTTCCGGTTTGGCAGTCGTGAGTAAAGGTATTATATCGTAGAGTTCGCGCACAGAACCAGGCCAACCATGAAGTAATAATAACGGTAGTACTTTTTTACCTTCGGCGTTTTTCGGCTTGACTTGAATAAAATGCATGCGTAAGCTGTGGAATGTAGTAAAAAAGAGGTTTTGAGAAAATTATTGAATCAATTTCAAGTAAAGTTTTAAGGTTATGAGAATCAATGCATGTTAAATACAAAACGAAACCTCTTCACACCCGACGAAGGATAAGTTGTACTAGACCAAAACTTCGCTCTGTGAGCTCTATGAATATACGCAGGGGCTCTGCTTCCTATGCTCATTCATTTCTCTTGTAGCCGAGTAAGCTTTGCGATGGGGAGAAAAAAACTACCTAACTGTCGTCTTGAGAACTGCGATAAAACCTAAGCTAATGATTCTAGGATAGCACTAGATCCTTGTGTGAATATTCATACACACAGCTCGCTGTTTCTTTTGCTCGGAGGGCTTACAACCAAGAAGGCTTGGCGTAAGAAAAAGAAACCGAAACTTTAAGCTGCGAAAAGTGCTCTATCATCACCCTCCAGCAGCCTCCATAGGTTTTAGAAGTTTTTATGGACAGGGAGGAAAGAGGTGATACCCATTTTAAACCGATGTGAGTCTAGAGTAGCTGAAAAGAAAAAGTTGAAAGCGATCCCATTCAAAAATTAGGCGCTGCATTAGTTGTGAGCGAAATTCGCAAAGAAGTCTAGAAATTTTAAATGGCAGATCTGGAAGTCTAACGCAAAATCACTTTTCCAACAAGTATGGCTTCATCGCTTGAAGGAGTGAATAACTTCTTCGAATAAAGTCCGCATTCTGATAGCGCTACGCGTGAAGGATGCCAGTCTCGGAAGAAATGTCAACAAGGGTTTCCGAGCGACGGTGAATATCACAAAAAATGGAACGAGCTAAGAGTCTCCAAAGGGAAGATGGACTTTCATGGAAGGTTATTGTTATCATGTCAGATACATGTCAAATACACTCAGAGGGCTTGTCAATTCGTAATCTCAATTACAGCAAACATTTTATAAAATTTTTGTTGTTTATATAGTTCGAACCTATGACCCTTCTCAAAGCATTACAAACTACTATCAAATCGGATAGAGCGTCCGTCATTGTTATAGTCCAATGTAAAAAAGGGAGCGGTTGTGTTGGCTGTTTAAATGGACGAAAACATCCCAGTTTTGTTTGCTCTGCAGTGCTGGCAGGAGGTAAGCAAGGAAGTGTAAGTTCTCCACTCGGCTAGATATACCACGTGGAAAGAGCTTTGGGTGTCTTGTTGCGTTGGCTATAATCAGACGAGCAGTGCAATTGACATTTAATCCGAGTCGAGTTGTAGATGAAAATCCTGATGGTGCATCACCAAGGAGACTTGACTGTCAACGTTATTTCAACAGAAAAATATTCTCTAATTTGGCTTTGAGGAGGCGAGCAGGGAGCACAAAAGCGATTTGATGAAAAATTCGCATCCTACTGCTATAAAATTCACTAAGCCAGCCTTCTTTTTCTTTTCCTTCTTCTCCATTGTTGGCGCTTTCAAGATTAAAGACGGGTTACTGAGTGCCAGTTGAAGACATCAAGTGAAGTCAGGTTCTTCTCCACCAGTTCTTTCTAACGGAAGGGAGGTCTTTCACTTCTTCTGCTACCACCAGCGGGAATTGTCCATTCGGACAGCGTAGTCGCCTAAATTCGCTGAACTATATTATTACCTAAATACATATGCATATCAGCGATCTATACTGAGGATTCCAAATATAAAGAAGGCACAGGAGATGGGTTCTTTTGTGACGCCACAAAGAACAAAAGCAGATATTCTGGGCATTACTCAACGCGCCAATCTCTTCAACAGGGAATTCCATTACATTTCTTGTAGGCAGTCCAGCAGCAATTAATGCAATTAGATGTGACAACACAAGGCCCAAATATGGGTGCAAATGCGATTAACAGTCTATCCCGGAGTTATACAGTAATAACGTAAAGTACGTTGAGCTGGCTCGCGCTGACAACAACGCCAGCCTCAGACCCCCTGACACAACTCAGGTCTGGATACTGTAGCAGGTTATACTAATACGTATCCAGACCAGACCCCGGCATATCCAACGTATGCCCTGCATGTGGAGAGTTTCCGCACGACACTAACCACTTCTTCACATGCCCACTCAAACTAACTCATCTAACTCCCCTCTACCTTTGGTCCCAACCCCGTCGAAACAGCTCGTTTCCTGGACCTCCCAATAGATGACCCCGGCGACTTAGATTAATCACACTTGACCCTAAGCGGGCTTAGCTAACCGCTACAACAACAACAACAAAAACAACACAGCCTTATACCTTTCAGTATCTTCAAATATTGTTCAAAATAGTCCCAATTCAAATGGAGAAGTTACTGTTGGACAGCGTTTAGAGACGCTAAGCCATAAAGAAATTAGTATTCTTGTAGGTGCACCGACGGGGATTCCATCTACACACGTAAGGTAAGTTAGAATCTACTCAGTGTTGAGCGTACACAGAGGAGTGATGTCAAATCTGCAGCAGTACTTTGAGCTCCAGCGTTAAATCGAGCAAATTTTGCGCAAAAACATGATTGGGGTAAGCAGAGGAGCACAATAAGCCTACTCAGAGCCTCTTAAAGGTGCCAGCTAGTCATATATAGCTCAGTCTAGCGCAAATAAATTGACTCAATACATTGAAGTTTTTTTAAGTGGAAGTTACTAAACGTTCCAGGCCTATATACATGCATACATATATTTTTTAAATTTATAATAAATTTTTTCAATGAAAATTTCTACACATCTATGTAAATACACGTAAGTACTTAGTAACACTTAGGAATATTATATGTATGAATATTTGTATGAATATGTGTATATCTCAAATCAAAACCATTATGGCGATATGTAGTTAGAACATATGGTTAATATTCTCAAGACTAATAATAATTTCAATATTCCACGCACATCGACACACTGCGCCCGGCTTGCTTTGTATTGACATTGTTATTGACCCCTTTGAGAACGTCATGACATTTCGAATGATATGAAGAATTTTAATGAACAAAACCCGAACCAAATGCGGTGTCTCCTCACCTATTTATGTATATATAGGCAACATATGTATGTATATATGTACGTTTGAGTTTAGCGCGATTATTGTACAATAATGTTTAATATTTAAACACTTATTTTGTATTGTGCTAAGTAAAACACCGTATGTATATGAACATATATACGTATGTTCAATATATAAGCCTATATGTACAATAAGTAAATAAATTTCAATTTCACAATGCCTTAACTTAACATACTTACCCTTGAATTTGTGTTTCGAAATGGGCAAACTTATTCAAAAACGCTTCATTCTCATCCCATTTCCGTAGATATGTATCGCGCCAATATTTGATTATGTTTTGTAGTTCCTTCGAGTTGAAACCATATTGGAATGCAACACCTTCGAGTGGTTCGTGTAGTTTTAGTGGCCGCGACAATTGCGCTTTTAGGTCACTAATTAGCTTTAAAAAGAAAAAAATATAGAAAAATTAAAAAAAAATGTCGAAATAAAAACAAATAAAATTAATAAAATTATTTGAAAGAATTTTCGCACAATTGTTGTTATATAATTGTGTCGCTTAAAAGCGAAACCGGTTGCATGAATATTCTTTTTTTGCAAGAATTTTTTTTACGTTTTTTTTTCCTTCTGCAACAACTTGCAATATCTTCGAATCGAGGTCAAGGAACTTTTCATAATAAAAATGCTGTCGATACAAGTACAAATACAATGCCATTGCAGGTGTTCGAGGTACAAAAGGCAAATAAAAAAAAAAGAATCTAACAGTCGGTATTCTGGCTAAGAAGTTGTACTTACTCAAATTACTCAAATTTCCAGCAAGTAATAATTTACATACATTTAATTACATACACATACATGTATATATGCCAGTAGTTTCGCTTGAAAGAGTGGATTTCATTTCCAAAAAATTTTCTTTTTTTTATACTTTTATTTATTTTTATTTCAATTTACTCATTTTTAATTTAACTAGAAGTTTTATTTAATTTATTCATACACGGACACACAAAGAATATATATTTGTATGTACTAGTACTTGTTCACTAAATGTTTGAATGTAATGATAACCGTACTTCATGGAATGTCCCCACGAATCCATTTAATTATGCCTGTCTGTCTGTCCATCTGTGTGTACGATAACTCAATGAGGGATTGAGATATTTTGATGACACCTGGGTCATACACTCCTTGGTCTTCAAGTATAAATGCTATTGGAAATGGGTAAAATCGAACAATTAAACGTTAATTTTGAATTGTACGAGAATCTCCAAATAGAAAAATTAATTTTTTAATTTTAATTTTAATTTTAATTTTAATTTTAATTTTAATTTTAATTTTAATTTTAATTTTAATTTTAATTATAATTTTAATTTTAATTTTAATTTTTTTTAATTTTAATTATTTTAAATTATTGTTGTATTTTGCTTTTATTTCAACTTATATTTTATGTTTATATATTTTTTTAAATTTAATTTTCAATTTATGATTTTAATTTAATTTCCTTTTTTTATATTTAGTTTTAATTTTATTATTGTGATTATTTTTATTAAAATTTCCATTTCGATTATATTTTAAATTTAATTTTTTTCTATTTACTTATGTTCGAATTTTTTGTTTCTATTTTTGTTCTTAATTTTAATTTTTATGTTTTTTTCATTAGAGTTTGTATTTCGAAATCGAAAATACTCACATGTATATGTTGAATTAATAATTAATACTCTAATGTGGTGAGTAAATAAACTAGTATCCTTGAAATTTATTCTCATTCTTTTCTACGCAATATTTTTGCACTACATATACCGCAACAAGTAAATTATTAACATGTAAATAGTTTCACTATGTTAATGGAAGAATGAAAATAGAATTTATGTTACAAAAGTCACAATTCCAATTTGAATTTTCCGTTAATGCATTTCACATTCTTTTAGTTTTATTTTTATTTTTACTTCGCCACAAAATGCGTCTTTTTTTGTGGTCCAACTTGGCGTTACCTCTGTATTGACTTTAATATTGAATGGCTTCACAGCGGTATCTTCGACATAATTCTCAGCACTGCCAGGACCCCAGTATTCGTTGAGGTCTAACTGTGGCGCCGGTAATGAGCGTGACAGGAGACGATAGTTTTGTATGAGCACGGCCAGACCGAGCGATGAGGTTACAACCAGAAATCGCACGAGGAAACCCATTCTAGATTTTATGTTTTTTTTTTCTTTTTGGGTATTATATATATAGTAAATATTTCTTATAATGCGGTTTAAGTAGATGGAAAATATTTTTTGAATTTTCTTATTTATTTTTTTAAGTGAGTTACGCGACGTTGGCAGTAGAGGGCAACCACGCGCGCGTACCGTTCGACACCGACTAATTGTGGTTTGTTTGCGTTGGAACAAAATATTGTAAATACGAGTACATAGGCAATTGTTGTGGTCGCCGGCTTCAAACGTATAATTTTATTTTCCTTTTTTTTGTTACATTCATTCTCACTATTCTCGTACATACATTGGGGTATGACGATTTTATAACTTTTTGAGAGTGAAATAAACAGTGGAGAGCCATAGTCCAAGCTTCGTGTATAGTGTTACGCGCACTAAATTTGGGAATTAGAAAATTAAAAAAAGAATTAAAAATATGTGTTTTATGTAAGCACTCAATTAGTGAATGAGATAGCAAAAAATAACGTCTTCAGCGGCTAATCTCTTTTCTTTATAAACATGAGGTTATATAATTCGTATAATTGGCGCTTTGTAACTTCGGAAGCGATTTTCCGCCGAGCTCCTCCTCCAATTTGTGGTTTCGCGTCTTGATATTTTTCCAACAAATGCAGGGACCAAAGTTCATACTAAGCCGCCTCCGAAAGGCTGATGGTTTTTTTTATGAGTAGTTTTATTTCATGTCAGAAATACGCTCTGAGGGGTTGACGTTCCCTGCCGAGGGGCGGTATAAAAAGTTTTCTAGGAAAGCTAATGTGTAAAGCCCAAAGACTGTCGATTAAAAGACATTGTGTGGTTGGCCGAAAGAGGCAGGTCTAGGACCTTACCACAAGCGGTCGCACTTAAGCCATTGAGTAGGTTCCATGTATTCCAGTAAGAGACTTTAGAAATTAAAAACAAGTCCCTTGGCAGAAATTGTCAGCCAGTAGTGCGGTTTTCTAAGAGAAGGCTCTACTAGTTTATTTCGCGTCGTGTTCATCTGCGGCTTTATTCATTTCAAAGGTACTGTATTTTCGACTCCTTTTCAGTAGATTTCATTTGTTTAAGCAAGAACAACAATTTGTTTCATTTATTGCAAAATGTCGATATTTGCGGGGAGTTCTTCTTCATTACTTTAACATGAAGAAAAGTGCCACCGAAAGCCATCGTACTTTACTGGACGTTTATGGTGACCATGCTTTAGCCGAACGAACGTGCCAAAAGTGGTTTGCATGGTTTGGAAGTGACAATTTCGACTTAGATGACGGAGAACGACCCGGACAGCCAAAAAAATTTCAAGACGAAGAATTGGAGACGTTGCTCGACGCAGATGCATCCCTGACGCAAAAAGAGCTTGCAAAAGTATAAGGAGTTGATCAAGCAACCGTTTGCAGACGATTAAAATTATTATGATTCATCCAGAAGCTTGGAAAAAGCTGAACTAAAACCAAGAGACGTCGAACGTCGATTCTGCATATCGGAAATGTTGCTTCAACGCCACCAAAAGAAGTCATTTTTGCATCGGATTGTCACTGGCGATGAAAAATGGATTCATTACGATAACCCAAAGCGCAAGAGATCGTATATGAAGCCCGGCCAATCATCGACATCCACGGCGAAGCCGAATATCCATGGTGCCAAGGTTATGCTATGTATTTGGTGGGACCACAAGGGTGTGCTCGATTATAAGTTATCGAAATTGGGTCAGACGATCAATGGGGACCTCAACCGAAAACAATTGATTCGATGCAGATACGATACCACCTTCCGATTACCACTTGTTCAGATCAATGCAGAATGCCTTCATCGGAGTACGCTTCACTTCAGAACAGGGTATCAGAAATTGGCTCGATTCTTTCTTGACCTCCAAGCCGGAGAAGTTCTTTTGGAATGAGAGCCACAAACTGCCAGATAGATGGGCAAACATCGTAGCTTCCGATGGGCAATACCTTGAACATTAAACGTATAACAACTTTTTCACAATAAAGTCTTAATTTTCGAAAAAAAACCGCACGAATTAATGCATAGACCCAATATAAGATTTAAATAATTTAAAAATGCGTAGAAATGTTGTTTCTTGTTTATTTCAATCCACTCTTTATTATATAAGAAATGTTTTTGAAATGAGCAATAAATAAATCCTCGTCTATTTGTTCTCTTTGTTTAGAAGAAATGAGTAAAAAATTAAGAAACATTGAAACATTAAAAATTTCTATTAAATGAATTTATGAAAACCCTTGTTTTACAAAATATTTAGTCCAAAATTTCTAAAATTTTTCAAATTTATTTTCAAGAGTCATACCGCTGACAATATCTGCACGTTGAGTTTTAAGGGCCGTTTTTTTTCTCGTTCGTTCAGAGTAAAGCTTTTCAGGTAAACAAATATTGAATATGCGTATGTATGGGTAAATACAATACATATGTACATACTCTCATATAAATGTATATTTGTATATAATATATTAGCAATCACTATTTGGCGTCAATAGCTTGAGCTTTTGCAATTGGTACAAATAAGTATAAGCAGGGTTATCCAATTTGCAGTTGCGAAAATACACATCAATAAAATTCATTTAAAATATTTATTTTTCATGAAATTCCTTTAGTAATTTCTTATAAATTTTGAACCTTTGATCGGCTCCCGAAACCTCGAACAGTTTGCGTTAATTTTCGACCACTTTTTGACACATATCGGGCGGTGTCAGCGACAAATTGGCGAACGTTGGTTTTCCAGTGCTCAAAAGTTAATGGTTTATCTGCCTAAACAGAGCCCATCGCACAGCTCCAAAAAAGGAAGTCCAACGGTGGCTAATCAGAAGATCTCATTGGCCAATTAACATCAACAAGACAAGAGATTACGTGGCCGGGGAATTTCTCTCGCAATAAAGCCATATTTGCTAGAGTTGTGTGGCATGGGACACCATTTTGTTGAAACCACTTATTTTCCAAGTCGTGTTCTTTAATTGCAGGCCAAAATAAGTCGGTTACCATACTACCATAACGCTCCGAGCTTCTAGTGATAGTCTCGTCGTTGACGTTTTTATAGAAGTAAGTTCCAATCACACTTCCGCACAGTAAGACCCTTCAATTTTTTTGAGGATTTTCGGTGCCTCAAGCTCAACAAATTTTCAATATTTACATATACTCCGGGTGAGAAATGTCCGTCGAAACGTGGCCTAATTTGAATCACTACTTTTGTACCAAGCTTTAACAACTTTAACGCGTCGTGCGGTTGCCAAGCGATCCATTGACATAATTGTCTGGCTTTTAACTAAAACAAAAAAGGTTTGGTAAGACAGTCAAGTTTGACAGATGTCAAAATACCGCTACGTACTTTTGAAGCCACGAAATGGGTAACCCTAGAAAATAAATTTATTCATTTGCGATAATTTAAGAACGTTTATCCAAATAGTAATTGAAATTTGAAGCAAACATAGGGACCGAAGCGGCCTGGGATAACAATTTTATTTAAAAAAGGAATTATTAAAGCTTTAATCAAAACAATTGTTGACGAGATTTATATTTATAATTAAAAAATATTTTATTAGACCTTTGCGACTTCCGAAGTTTTAAGAAATACCATTAATATGTTTTTAATTTATATATTATATTTTATATTTTATATTTAAATTTTATATTTTATATTTTATATTTTATATTTTTTATTTTATATTTTATATTTTATATTTTATATTTTATATTTTATATTTTATATTTTATATTTTATATTTTATATTTTATATTTTATATTTTATATTTTATATTTTATATTTTATATTTTATATTTTATATTTTATATTTTATATTTTATATTTTATATTTTATATTTTATATTTTATATTTTATATTTTATATTTTATATTTTATATTTTATATTTTATATTTTATATTTTATATTTTATATTTTATATTTTATATTTTATATTTTATATTTTATATTTTATATTTTATATTTTATATTTTATATTTTATATTTTATATTTTATATTTTATATTTTATATTTTATATTTTATATTTTATATTTTATATTTTATATTTTATATTTTATATTTTATATTTTATATTTTATATTTTATATTTTATATTTTATATTTTATATTTTATATTTTATATTTTATATTTTATATTTTATATTTTATATTTTATATTTTATATTTTATATTTTATATTTTATATTTTATATTTTATATTTTATATTTTATATTTTATATTTTATATTTTATATTTTATATTTTATATTTTATATTTTATATTTTATATTTTATATTTTATATTTTATATTTTATATTTTATATTTTATATTTTATATTTTATATTTTATATTTTATATTTTATATTTTATATTTTATATTTTATATTTTATATTTTATATTTTATATTTTATATTTTATATTTTATATTTTATATTTTATATTTTATATTTTATATTTTATATTTTATATTTTATATTTTATATTTTATATTTTATATTTTATATTTTATATTTTAAATTTGATATTTTATATTTTATATTTTTTATTTTATATTTTTCATTTTATATTTTATATTTTATAGTTAGATTTTATATTTTATATTTTTTATTTTATATTTTATATTTTATATTTTATATCTTATATTTTATATCTTATATTTTATATTTAATATTTATATTCCACGAAAAAATAGTATCTAAATTGATTTGCTTATTTACAATATAAAGTTTATTTACGTTCAATTGTTACCCTGCATTTGATAAAAAGCTTAGAAATGAAAGTTTGAGAGCTTAAGTATTTTGGTATAGCTTAAGACAAACTGAAGCGTTGTGCTTTCAGGTTTAAGTAGGTGGAACTTTTTAAATGCGTTTAATGTGTTTAAAATTTGTTTAAATTTATTAATGCGTTTAATGTGTTTAAAATTTGTTTAAATTTATTAATTCATTGTACATTTCTACATAACGTATTTAAATACATGCATATATAAATACGATATGTTTGTTCATTCAGAGATTCTGAAAAGTTTATGCAAACAAAATTTTTTTTGATGACATAAACTTTCAGTTTGTTAATTTTTGTTGTATGTCAACGCGCTTTTGGAAATTTTAACGCAAGTTTAGAATACAAATTGATATGCTCGTAACTTTGTTAGTATAGATGTATGTACATACGAGTATGTGGGTTTTACTATGCGATTTCC